TACCCTTGTTTAGTGTTTACGATTATTGCAGGGTTTGGACAAAGTTTAGGGCTGATCCCAGTGCTCACAGTGTACAATTTTCAGCTAATAAATCTTGAATTCTGAGGTAACAAAATCAACTAGAACTCTGAAAAAGTGATTTATCAGAAATCATGCCCTTACTTCCATGATAAGAGGGATTCGTAAAAATTATAAGCAGGTTGTGGCTTATTATCTAGTAAAAGATACAAGAATCCCAGATCTGAAAACGATTATTGTTCATGTGATCACAAACTAGCAGCGACTTGGTTTGTGCGTTGTTGGCACTATTTCTAATCAGGGCGCAACGATCAAAAACGCACTTGAGACGATTTGCTCGGAGAATACTCACGGATCAAGTCCATTCCATTTTATAGTCAATGCTCAGAGTATTTCTACAATTTGTGATGAACCACATTTATTCAAAAATGGATGAAATGCTCTTATTGACATTAATATGAAAGTGAAGAAGCTGCACAGATTGAACATGTCTAGAAATCATATAATGTTGATCAGCAAACAAGACCATACAAAGAGCTATGTAAATTGAAACCCAGCCACTTTGATTTTATAGATTCGTTCAAGAATATAGAAATTAATCCTTTAATGATATCGTCGGATGATTCGAGCTTTCTCAGTTATGTGGTGGGGGTCCCGTGACTTCTCATACGGTATGAGCACGTATACCTCAAACCACAGTTTAATTTAAACATCACAATTGTTGGTTTGTTGACTTTGCGGTCAAATTTGATCCGAGGATGTCAGTTGCGTGTACGATTTGAACTTCCTTCACAATGGATTTTTTCGTTGTTGACGGATGAACAATACACTATAGACTACGCCGAGGACGACGCTGCTATCGATCAACCTGAACAACTTCCTATGGGCGACCTCGCTATGCCTATGGAAAAAACATGTACAATTGGTCAAAACGAGCGCCTGCAACTGGTCGATTATTACGCATTTACCTGAACTAAAGTCCGTGGCAACCAATTTGGAAAATAATAACCCTGTGACTCGAGAAATGCCGATAAATTTCTCCAAATACGTGAAATTTTCGAGACACTCATAGAGAACTGTCGAAATTGTTATATTTCGGGTGAGTCCCCTACAAAATACGAGATGCTCGTGGGCCGATGTCCTTCCTGTGCCTACAAGAAAACTAAACCGAATAAGTATGGACTGATGATGCAAAGACTCACCACTACCTGCTCAATGCTTTCGTCTATACGAACAGAAATATCACAGCAGATGACTGGTTCACGTCAGTAGAATTACATGTAGAATTGCGCATCAACCAACTGACCTATGTCGGCAGGAAGCGTAAAAATAAGTAACAAGTACCCCAACATGTAGTTCCAAATAAGAAGGAAACACAGCCAGGTACTTCTAAGTTTATGTTGTACAGCCTTAGAGTAGTATCTTCCAAAACCAAATACACATGTTCTCGTATAGCAATCTATGCAGCATGATAACAAAATAGTAGAGGAATCAAAGAAACCTGATAAGATCCTATATTATTTTTATAACACTATGAAGGCGGGGGGTAATGCATTAGATCGGAAGTGTGTAAATTACAATACTGGTTAGAGAACGAGAAGATGGCCTTGTGCTATTTGGTATCCAACCAGCTTCTGTAAATTCCTTTTTTTTCAGTCTGGGACTGAAAGTTCCATTAGGCGACGAAATTTTATTGTTCCCCTGAGGCAAACTCTAATTTAACTTCGTATGAGAGGACGTTTATCAGATCCAAGACTTCCTAGGGAGCTTCGTTCAGCCATGCAAAGAATCCTAAATTACCAACGACGAATAAAGTAAGCCGTCTACTTCTCAGCCCAGAGTTCTCGATCCTGATGCAGTTGTTAAAGAAAAAAAACGACGTAGGTGTTACATGACAATACACAATGAAAAAAATGTTCTACAATCTGTAATAAGTATGTAAAGTCACAGCGCACTTACATTGTTTCGTGAAAAGTGATAAATGTTAATTATTGTATGTTTCCTTATACGAGAAAGTATTTGTTTTTGTTGTAGAATATCAACACCAAATATGTTGTTAAATGGCCCATTTTGTTAGTTTTTTTGTTCATATTACAGTTCAAGTTTCGAGGATTATATTTATTGCATTACTCATCTTCAATGGGGTATTTTCGTTTTTAGACAATAAACAGTTTTCATGTAAGAGTGTCTTATGCGTACAAACCTGTTGTACACATGGCTAAAAACAGTAATGGCATTTCAGATGTTGATAGTAAGATCCGGTGGATAACCTGTTTTGCGAGATTAGACGTGGGATTTCCAACACGAACACCATCTGTTTATTTGAAGCATTAAAAACTGTAATAATCAACAATTTCAGTTTTCCATTGACAATAATGAAGAATTATGAAGGCGATTCATGTAAGGCACTAGGTAACTTCGCGTTGCTTTTAGAAGAGTATTGTCTGAATAGACAACAGTTACCTTGTGATTCTTCACCGAGCTGCATTTTTCAAGTTGAAAAATCGGGTGCTGAAAGTGATGGATCTATAGATTTGTGAGAATTTGCTGCTGCTTCAACTTCTTTTTGTAATAACAATAACAGTCTATATGAAATTTAACAATTCTGTTTCTTCTTTGATTTTGAGTCACCCTGTAAATGTAGCTCTACTAAACTATCGGACCGCATTCATAGCCTACAAGAGAAAAAAATCTTCTATACTGGAAAGGAGGAAAAAAAGAATGTATCAACCTGATACATCTGCCCCTCTTTATAACCCGTGAAATAGCCCTAGTTCTAATTAAATTTCAGTTCAAGCTTCCAAAATGACTTCCAACAATATTAAAGTAGCCACAAAGATCAGACCAATGATCCACCGCGAAGTAGCCGATGGTCTAGAGCGTCTTTGGAACGTAAGAGTAAACTGCATATGGGAAGCCGATGAAAGTAGTCGCCATGGAGAGGTTTATATATTCGACCATGTATTTAATCAGGAATGTACAAATTCAGATGTATATGGATCTGTAGTAAAACCTTTAGTCGATTCCTTCATGGAAGGTTTCAATGCCACAATATTTGCATATGGCCAAACATCTTCTGGCAAAACACACACCATTTTGGGCAATAAAACAGATCCTGGGCTTTTCCAATTAGTATCCAATCAGTTATTCCAGCATGTGGCAGACCAGGTTGATAAGAGGTACTTGATTAGATGCAGTTATATTGAAATCTACAATGAAAAGATCAATGACCTCCTGGATAAGAGCAATCAGGGTTTAACTATGAGAAGATATCAAAGGAAATGTGCTGCTTGATGCAAGGGAAGCTGTCGTAGACAATGTTGATAAAGTTATGGAGAACATGATGCAGGGCAATAAGATCAGACGAGTTGCAGCTACTCGCATGAATGAGAGGTCATCTCGATCACACACGATTTTCCGGATTATTCTGGAGTCGAAAGATGCCAATCAGAAAGATGGACCTGTACATATAAGCTACCTTAACTTAATGGACTTAGCTGGTTCTGAGAGAGTTTCTCTGACGAAAGCTGCTGGTGAGCGTCTTAAAGAGGGGGCTAACATAAACAAATCTTTGTCAGTATTAGGAAATGTGATAAGGCAACTAAGCGAGGGGAAGGAGTTTATCAGTTATCGCGATTCGAAATTGACTAGACTGCTCTCACAGGCTCTTGGCGGTAATGCCAAATCATTGATTATCGGGAATGTTACTTTAGCTGCAGAGGAGGAGACTAGATCTACACCAGAATTCGCCCAAAGCACTAAAACTGTCAAAAATAAAACGAAAGTAAACATCTTGTCAGCTACAGAAGAGACACTTCAAGGATATCAGAACTTGACTCGCGATCTCGAAACTCGGCTCAAAAAGCAGGCAATTAAGCTAAAAGAGATGGATAAAAGCAAACAAGAGTATCTGCTCGAGATAGAAAGACTAAAAACGGAAGTATCTATTGTCGGGCGCTTTCAAATGGGAGCCTCGGCATCAACACCGAAAAAAACATTAAGACGTCATACTTTTGGACACTATGGCAACGTATCACCTAAAAAAGCATCCCTAGGGTATATGCCATTGAAAAATTATCCACCCAAAGAAGAATCATCCGGACGTGAAATGAGGCCTATTCAAGAAGAGACATATGAGGAGGCACTAGCCGAAGCAGAATCTGTGATAGCTGAAGACGTGCAAGTGTACTTAAAAGACAACGCAAAGAACTGGAAGAATCTTTCAATGAGCTTAGAGAATTCACTAAACTAGATAATCAGCTGGAGATTTTGGACCTGAAGAAACAGCTCACAGAAGCCAATTCTAAAATCGATCGTTACAGTCAGGAACTCCGCCAAGTAACGGATGCGTACAACGAAGAAATAGAAAGAGTTCAAAAAAATTCTCAAAAAGCGCAAGAATTTCATCGACTTGCAATACAGACTCGATTTTCTGGAAAAAAATAATAAAAAGACTAAAAACATACGAGTCAGAAATAGAGATGCTGCGTACTCAACTGAAGAACCTAGGAAGATCAGAGAGCCCTAAACCATCTCTTGAAGCTCAAAATATTGAGTCAAAAAAGAAGGTTGCAGACTTAGAAGCTATGCTTGACGCTGAGTACGAAGATATGCAAGATTCTTTAAGTGCTGCTACACAAACTGATGTAACGATGTCACACATTGCTGAACTGCAAGATGAAATTGGCTTCCTAAAAGAACTTGAATCTAAACTGAGAAATGACGTAAAGAGTCTGATGGACGAGAGTAACCAACGTGAGGTCAACCACTCATTTAAAATCTCAGATATACGATGCCATAATGATTCTACTATAAAAGAGCTTCAGGATCAAATGGCTGAACTGGAATGCCAAAACGAAATCTGGATTATGAAAAGTGCCCCTCTTTATAACCCGTGAAATAGCCCTAGTTCTAATTAAATTTCAGTTCAAGCTTCCAAAATGACTTCCGACAATATTAAAGTAGCCACAAAGATCAGACCAATGATCCACCGCGAAGTAGCCGATGGTCTAGAGCGTCTTTGGAACGTAAGAGTAAACTGCATATGGGAAGCCGATGAAAGTAGTCGCCATGGAGAGGTTTATATATTCGACCATGTATTTAAGCAGGAATGTACAAATTCAGATGTATATGGATCTGTAGTAAAACCTTTAGTCGATTCCTTCATGGAAGGTTTCAATGCCACAATATTTGCATATGGCCAAACATCTTCTGGCAAAACACACACCATTTTGGGCAATAAAACAGATCCTGGGCTTTTCCAATTAGTATCCAATCAGTTATTCCAGCATGTGGCAGACCAGGTTGATAAGAGGTACTTGATTAGATGCAGTTATATTGAAATCTACAATGAAAAGATCAATGACCTCCTGGATAAGAGCAATCAGGGTTTAACTATAAGAGAAGATATCAAAGGAAATGTGCTGCTTGATGCAAGGGAAGCTGTCGTAGACAATGTTGATAAAGTTATGGAGAACATGATGCAGGGCAATAAGATCAGACGAGTTGCAGCTACTCGCATGAATGAGAGGTCATCTCGATCACACACGATTTTCCGGATTATTCTGGAGTCGAAAGATGCCAATCAGAAAGATGGACCTGTACATATAAGCTACCTTAACTTAATGGACTTAGCTGGTTCTGAGAGAGTTTCTCTGACGAAAGCTGCTGGTGAGCGTCTTAAAGAGGGGGCTAACATAAACAAATCTTTGTCAGTATTAGGAAATGTGATAAGGCAACTAAGCGAGGGGAAGGAGTTTATCAGTTATCGCGATTCGAAATTGACTAGACTGCTCTCACAGGCTCTTGGCGGTAATGCCAAATCATTGATTATCGGGAATGTTACTTTAGCTGCAGAGGAGGAGACTAGATCTACACCAGAATTCGCCCAAAGCACTAAAACTGTCAAAAATAAAACGAAAGTAAACATCTTGTCAGCTACAGAAGAGACACTTCAAGGATATCAGAACTTGACTCGCGATCTCGAAACTCGGCTCAAAAAGCAGGCAATTAAGCTAAAAGAGATGGATAAAAGCAAACAAGAGTATCTGCTCGAGATAGAAAGACTAAAAACGGAAGTATCTATTGTCGGGCGCTTTCAAATGGGAGCCTCGGCATCAACACCGAAAAAAACATTAAGACGTCATACTTTTGGACACTATGGCAACGTATCACCTAAAAAAGCATCCCTAGGGTATATGCCATTGAAAAATTATCCACCCAAAGAAGAATCATCCGGACGTGAAATGAGGCCTATTCAAGAAGAGACATATGAGGAGGCACTAGCCGAAGCAGAATCTGTGATAGCTGAAGACGTGCAAGTGTACTTAAAAGACAACTCAAAGAACTGGAAGAATCTTTCAATGAGCTTAGAGAATTCACTAAACTAGATAATCAGCTGGAGATTTTGGACCTGAAGAAACAGCTCACAGAAGCCAATTCTAAATTCGATCGTTACAGTCAGGAACTCCGCCAAGTAACGGATGCGTACAACGAAGAAATAGAAAGAGTTCAAAAAAATTCTCAAAAAGCGCAAGAATTTCATCGACTTGCAATACAGACTCGATTTTCTGGAAAAAAATAATAAAAAGACTAAAAACATACGAGTCAGAAATAGAGATGCTGCGTACTCAACTGAAGAACCTAGGAAGATCAGAGAGCCCTAAACCATCTCTTGAAGCTCAAAATATTGAGTCAAAAAAGAAGGTTGCAGACTTAGAAGCTATGCTTGACGCTGAGTACGAAGATATGCAATTCTTTAAGTGCTGCTGCACAAACTGATGTAACGATGTCACACATTGCTGAACTGCAAGATGAAATTGGCTTCCTAAAAGAACTTGAATCTAAACTGAGAAATGACGTAAAGAGTCTGATGGACGAGAGTAACCAACGTGAGGTCAACCACTCATTTAAAATCTCAGATATACGATGCCATAATGATTCTACTATAAAAGAGCTTCAGGATCAAATGGCTGAACTGGAATGCCAAAACGAAATCTGGATTATGAAAAAGGACGACGAAATCAGAAAATTGCAACAACTAATTACAAACCCGAAGCAGGCTGGCACTTAACCAGAACCACCTGTGCAGGAAGACGTTGCATTTTATAGGGAGCAAGTTGAGTTCTCCCAGAACATGTACAAAAATGAGATAATAGGTGGAGAGTTACGTATAAACCATAGAGAAAATCTTCAGGCAGTTAAACTAGAAATATGTCTACCCTTGTTTAGTGTTTACGATTATTGCAGGGTTTGGACAAAGTTTAGGGCTGATCCCAGTGCTCACAGTGTACAATTTTCAGCTAATAAATCTTGAATTCTGAGGTAACAAAATCAACTAGAACTCTGAAAAAGTGATTTATCAGAAATCATGCCCTTACTTCCATGATAAGAGGGATTCGTAAAAATTATAAGCAGGTTGTGGCTTATTATAAAAATCTAGTAAAAGATACAAGAATCCCAGATCTGAAAACTGAAAACTGATGTAACGATGTCACACATTGCTGAACTGCAAGATGAAATTGGCTTCCTAAAAGAACTTGAATCTAAACTGAGAAATGACGTAAAGAGTCTGATGGACGAGAGTAACCAACGTGAGGTCAACCACTCATTTAAAATCTCAGATATACGATGCCATAATGATTCTACTATAAAAGAGCTTCAGGATCAAATGGCTGAACTGGAATGCCAAAACGAAATCTGGATTATGAAAAGTGCCCCTCTTTATAACCCGTGAAATAGCCCTAGTTCTAATTAAATTTCAGTTCAAGCTTCCAAAATGACTTCCGACAATATTAAAGTAGCCACAAAGATCAGACCAATGATCCACCGCGAAGTAGCCGATGGTCTAGAGCGTCTTTGGAACGTAAGAGTAAACTGCATATGGGAAGCCGATGAAAGTAGTCGCCATGGAGAGGTTTATATATTCGACCATGTATTTAAGCAGGAATGTACAAATTCAGATGTATATGGATCTGTAGTAAAACCTTTAGTCGATTCCTTCATGGAAGGTTTCAATGCCACAATATTTGCATATGGCCAAACATCTTCTGGCAAAACACACACCATTTTGGGCAATAAAACAGATCCTGGGCTTTTCCAATTAGTATCCAATCAGTTATTCCAGCATGTGGCAGACCAGGTTGATAAGAGGTACTTGATTAGATGCAGTTATATTGAAATCTACAATGAAAAGATCAATGACCTCCTGGATAAGAGCAATCAGGGTTTAACTATAAGAGAAGATATCAAAGGAAATGTGCTGCTTGATGCAAGGGAAGCTGTCGTAGACAATGTTGATAAAGTTATGGAGAACATGATGCAGGGCAATAAGATCAGACGAGTTGCAGCTACTCGCATGAATGAGAGGTCATCTCGATCACACACGATTTTCCGGATTATTCTGGAGTCGAAAGATGCCAATCAGAAAGATGGACCTGTACATATAAGCTACCTTAACTTAATGGACTTAGCTGGTTCTGAGAGAGTTTCTCTGACGAAAGCTGCTGGTGAGCGTCTTAAAGAGGGGGCTAACATAAACAAATCTTTGTCAGTATTAGGAAATGTGATAAGGCAACTAAGCGAGGGGAAGGAGTTTATCAGTTATCGCGATTCGAAATTGACTAGACTGCTCTCACAGGCTCTTGGCGGTAATGCCAAATCATTGATTATCGGGAATGTTACTTTAGCTGCAGAGGAGGAGACTAGATCTACACCAGAATTCGCCCAAAGCACTAAAACTGTCAAAATAAAACGAAAGTAAACATCTTGTCAGCTACAGAAGAGACACTTCAAGGATATCAGAACTTGACTCGCGATCTCGAAACTCGGCTCAAAAAGCAGGCAATTAAGCTAAAAGAGATGGATAAAAGCAAACAAGAGTATCTGCTCGAGATAGAAAGACTAAAAACGGAAGTATCTATTGTCGGGCGCTTTCAAATGGGAGCCTCGGCATCAACACCGAAAAAACATTAAGACGTCATACTTTTGGACACTATGGCAACGTATCACCTAAAAAAGCATCCCTAGGGTATATGCCATTGAAAAATTATCCACCCAAAGAAGAATCATCCGGACGTGAAATGAGGCCTATTCAAGAAGAGACATATGAGGAGGCACTAGCCGAAGCAGAATCTGTGATAGCTGAAGACGTGCAAGTGTACTTAAAAGACAACTCAAAGAACTGGAAGAATCTTTCAATGAGCTTAGAGAATTCACTAAACTAGATAATCAGCTGGAGATTTTGGACCTGAAGAAACAGCTCACAGAAGCCAATTCTAAATTCGATCGTTACAGTCAGGAACTCCGCCAAGTAACGGATGCGTACAACGAAGAAATAGAAAGAGTTCAAAAAAATTCTCAAAAAGCGCAAGAATTTCATCGACTTGCAATACAGACTCGATTTTCTGGAAAAAAATAATAAAAAGACTAAAAACATACGAGTCAGAAATAGAGATGCTGCGTACTCAACTGAAGAACCTAGGAAGATCAGAGAGCCCTAAACCATCTCTTGAAGCTCAAAATATTGAGTCAAAAAAGAAGGTTGCAGACTTAGAAGCTATGCTTGACGCTGAGTACGAAGATATGCAACATTCTTTAAGTGCTGCTGCACAAACTGATGTAACGATGTCACACATTGCTGAACTG